ATACGTCCATGCTCAAGACGCGCAAAGACCACAGGACAAACCCGAAATCAAATGTTGTCGTTGCGTGGTGTTGTTGATTGTTTGGGGAATGGCACAACAGGGTATAGGGTATATACCAAGGTCGAAGAGCGACTCAGACGGGTACATTCCTTCGAACACCGTGAAAGGAGTCTCGCTGATTGATCGATGCCTGCTTTCACCGTGCCGTTTTGCAAACACCATGAGGTGTACGGCTACGTTTCTCTGGAACTGGACCCTGATATTCTGGAAATGTGGCCTGAGATGATGGGAAACTGAACCTATCCATCGCCGTTTCCTCGGCAGGAATAGCATTCCGGTGTCACCAACAGACAACAAAAACACCAATCTTACCGCCCCGACAAATGATGGCACCCGACATCCGAAAATTGGCCCGTGGTTGAAGCAGCATGGTTGACACGCCAATTGAAACAGAACATGTAGGCTGCGGTCCGGAATGGAAATGGGCGGACACGGAGCGTGTCTCGGATGTCGGTTGGCACGGTTTGTCTGGAAGCGGAAGGTTTGTGTTTCGGGCGTCGTTTGGCGGTAGCGAGAAGTGATTCGTGCGGAGAATACTGTCGATGGATAGGTTGCGTTTCCCGCAGGTCAGCGTACATTTCCTACCAATCAGTGCGCACAGTTCTACAGCAAAATAGCCGCGGGGGGGTATATCTCAGAGTTTTCGTGACAAGGTAGGGTGGAGGTGGGCATCGATCGATCAGGAAGGCTCATTTGACAGTGCTCCAAAGCATGTTCCCGGCTCACTCGCTCATCGAACTATTCAGGGTGTACCCCGGTGTGTCGCACATACCCCTGATTGTCTCGGTGTCGGATGTTCCGGCTTTTGCGTTGTCTAAATGGAGCTGGGTTGCCCTTTCCGGATGGGGTATCCTCCAAGCTTCGGTGGGCTTGCCGTAGGTCGGCGCGCCGTATAGTTCTGAGAGAAGTTGCGATGTCAGAAATATCTGCCTGCATAGATATTATAGCTGTGCCCCGGCAAGTGCTTGGTGGAGTTGTGTTTTTCGCCCGCTCAGCGCGAAACCTCTCTCTGATCGATTGATATCTGCATGGGTTGGAGTGTAGTGGAGAGTGAGTCATATGCGACTTGCAACAATACGCCATCATACCGGGGCTTTCTATGCTGCACTCGCGGCGTAATAAGCGTAGGGCGTATCACCAGTTCCCCCATGCCCCGAAGTATTCGACGACAATGTCGCGTCTCAACAGAAACCAGCCATAGCAAGTGTTTCGGGTCTGCTTAAGAGGGCTCTCTCTAATCTCCAAAGGGAACTACGACGAAAAGTTGCGCGTTTTGGGGTTGTGAAGTGAGCATGTTGCTGTAACAAATGTTTTTCGTAAGCCCTCATCACGTCGTGCTGTGCCTCTTCATGGACGGGATTGGGTTTTCGTCGCTTGGCAACGACGTTGTAAAACAAGCCAATTCACTTCGTGAACTCGGCAACCAGGATACCGTTCTTTTTTTACCTCTGTTTTTTTGTTGCGGTAACCATATTGGTGGTCGAGTAGATCATGTTGTGCGGAGTCGAGAACCCTCACTCCGCGCAAAGGGGATGATCGCACCACGTTGTGTTAAAATGGTCAAGCACCCTCAAGGCAGTTACACAGCAGTGCCTATTGCTGTCTCCGGAAGTGAAAGCAGCAGGAAATAAAGTAAGTCATACGCAGCTGTCCTCCGTACGCAAGGAAGTAAGCGCAAGATGCCGAACACCCTTAGCAGGATGCAGCGCACCCTTCATGCAACTCGCCGAATACCTCACGGCGCTTCGCGCTTGGTGATGTGAGGGCCTGGTCCGGTGAGAGCCCGGCGTGCTCCGTCCCGGCTTTGTAGGGATGCGAGGTCAATGGTCTAACGACTACGGCATGGACGACTACGAGTACCCCCCCTCCCCCCACCCGCTTTGCTAAATCCTTGCTCGCAGAGTACCTGCTGACCCTTGCACTTCCGGCCTCTCTGTCTGCGACTTGTCTCTTTTGTTGCTCTCCTCAAAGGCACCAGGCAGAAGCTATCATCAGCGATCAAGAGCGGCTTTTTGAGCGCCACACAACGCACCGTCCAGCCACGGACAAACACAATGGCACAACGACAGGGCCTGAAGGTCCCGCAAGTCTTCGTTGCTCATGTAGAATGTTCTGTAATACGATGCGTCGTGTTGGGTGCTGAAGAGGCAAATAGATTGGAAACGCATGATCAGATCATGGGTATTTTGTATGTGTCCCAGATGTGGGACTGGATGAATGAATGCCGTTCGGACGTTATGGCCCCGACCATGCTGGTGTGTCGACTGGCATGTTGGCAAGCGTTCGTGTTTTTGGGCCGTCGAACAGTTGAACACGCGAGGTACCTGCTGGAAACGAACGGTAGATCGTCTTGGTTCTCCCTTTGGAGTACTGGCATCCTGTCAGAGTCACAAGCACAAATATATCGGTGCCCACAAGAGAAAGTTGGTCATGTGTTCAAAGGGTGGGAATTGCGTACAGCAACATGACGGCTCGCAACGTAGTTGAAAACCATACACCCGCTAAGCAAGACAAGGGTCGTGCCGGCCGGCTTTCGCCGGACTCCGCCCAGCTTTCGGTTAACCGGCAGCCGTTCGGCCGTTAGCCCTTGGTTGGGGGTCATTCTTGTGGTAGTCCAGATGATGGGGTATCGCAACCGAACCATCCGTCGTACTACAAATGTCCAGAGAGTCCTGTACTACTATCGATCACCCCGGCTGGTGCTATCACAGACAGTGTGTCCCACTCGGTTGAAGGAAGCGGCTGTTGCTTTTGATTTGAAAATTTGCAGGTTTGGGTGTCAGAGGTGGGAGTTGTGACGCCTTTGGTCAGCAAGCAGGGATCGGGCATATTGCAAGAGCAATTCAACCAGGAGCATTTCTGTGCAAGCGCTGCTTCTCTGTTCTCATGCCTCGAACATTTGCGATTATTCGATATTCTCACGACTCTTGCTTGACATGTCCGAATGTGTATTGCATCTTCTCTCCCTCCACCATTAGACGTTTGACGACAACAGAGGGGTAGGCGAACGTGTCACGATATGCTGAGGAAGCCGATGCCGGCAAGTGGCGGGAAACGGATAGCGAGTACCTGCACAAGACAGAGTTAGGACACCCGGCAATACCGGCAGAAGACAGCAAACCTCGGCAGTTGGCACGGTCGAGAATTCTCGTGTAGGGCCTTGGGTGTCGGTTTCTGACGTTGGCATATAGGAGATCGTTGCGGAGTGGTCCCAACCAAACGGCGGAACTCGATACCCGCTTGTCTTGTGATTTCCAGGCCTTGTAGGTTTGCCTGCATTGCTTACCGACAAACACGAGCAACTAAATATGTGTGCACAGTGATGAGGTTGGATATTGTGCTTTTGCCATCATCTGGTCACTGCGTGGATGGAGCAGCTGTGCTTGGTGTCAATGCCGAGCGTGCTTGGCGTAAGATTGAATCAGGAACACACACATTTGGCTTGAATTTCGTCTTGCCTAGCGACCAAACGGTTGATCGTTTGGCTATTAGCAGTCTCTCGATAATATGTTTGACAGTTACCCGCGTTCATGGTCCTGCTCTGTCATTCTTTAAGCTCAACCGAAGCCATCAGCGACCTGACTAATGGGCATCCGAGCAGGTGTCACCTGTACTTATCGTTGCTTCCATTGAATTGCTTTATTATTTTTCTTCGGTTTATAGGCCACACGTTGGGGAGTGCTATACCGCCTCCTCCTGCGTTGGACGGCCACTGCTATCCTTCCTCTTCACACACTCTGTAGCTTCCGCTCGTTACTCAACTTGCTACACCGCTGCGTGCTCTCAACAGAATAACAGGGAAGGGGGTTCGAATTTCTTCCCCTCGTGACCCCAGGTTTCCGCACAATTAATGAAAACACAATCCGAAACTGCTGTTACATCAATAACCAGCATTTTATAATGATGTATGTCTGTTGGACGAAAAACTTTCCTTGTTTTTTCAACACCAACTTGCATCAGCCACATGTCGCGAAGTTCGACGATCCTTTCTCGTTGTGTGATGTCGTTTATTGCTTGTGATTCCCATCCCGGCTCTCGATGAGCTGACGCCTAGTTGAGGAGAGCTGCACGTTCGAGCTGATATTGTTCGGGATTGACTTGGTTCGCGATGGCGCTCTCGTGCAACAAGTGAAGCGATCTCGTCACAGATGAAGACACGTCTGTATATTGAAGTGCATACGCGAGTCTCGGCCATACGCTCGCTGTCGCGGGTTTTTTTTGCGCGGCTTGTTGGGCTGTCTTCCCAAAAGAGAAGGGCACCAGCACGCTTGTTTGCCATTTAGGGGCAAATACGCCCCCGAGCAGTGGAAATGGTCCATAACCGCACATGCATTAGGTAGCCTTTCTTGGAGGTGAGTCCTTACTTTAGCCAAGCGCTCACCCTCAACCGAGCGACCACGCTCTCTCCGCACCCGCTCCATCTCCGTTCGCTTCGATGTACGAAGAGCCACTGTGTGACGGACACAGGAGGGGGGCTTTCCCTCATATTCGGGCGCGCGAGCCAAGGTGCGCGCCGATCATTGTTTCCATGAATTGAATGTGTGTGTACGCCAACGTTTACCGTTGGTCGCCTTGAACGACAAGCAGGAAAATATGTTGTTGATGGAATGGTGATCCGTTTTACCACGCTCTATTGAACTGTTGCAGCACCATTCCCGGCTACCTTCATCGTCAGGGCAGTCTCTTGTATTGCCACTCATCACATGTATCCAGCACCAAGACATGTAATGACACCAGGAGGAGCGGTGCAAACCTTCCAACCTTACACCTGTTCTTCTAACAGTCAACAGTCAACATTCAACAGACAACCCGCTGCTAAGCTCACTTCCTCCACGGGGTGAAGGCAGATTGCAACAATTTTCTGCGATACAGGTTCCATGTACACATTCCATCTCTTTCTGCCGATTCCATATTCCCGCCAACTACTGGGGAATGCACGCAAACAACAGAGTCCTTAGAAAAAAACAAATTTGACAACAGGGTACTCCGACGAATGAAGCAGATCACAACATACAACACACCGACTAAGGACGACAAGGGACCACATGATAAAAAAACATCATCACGTCCACATCACGACAGCAAAGGCTCAAAACGACGAGAATAAACCACACGCACACCTTCATATACGTATGTATGCATATGCAAGCAAGTACAAGGGAACACAGCGCGCCCATATCGAGCGTGGTGATCAACCACGTGTATATATGTATGTACATCATTCCGACTACGAACAGACCGATGTAACGATATCCTACGTTTCCCACACAACGCTAACACCTCTGTTCACCAAAATCACTAAATCAGTCGATGGCGCCCGCTTCCCACAAGACGTCAGAACAAAAACGAAGCGAACGAGGCGACAGAAATAAATATTTCCAGCATTCTGAGCAATCACCCCTTACAAACACCTGTAGTGCTTCTTGTACCCGCGGCACAAAGCTCGCCCTACGGCAATAAATACTGGCTATTTCCTACTTTTATTTAGCTAAACTATGCCGGTGCCTCCGAAATCGGGCTGAGACCGAACGATATCGGTCGTCGCAGCGCAGCGCCCCCGCTGCTGCCGCTTCCTCCGGGGCGGCTTCCGTCCCCCCCCCGTGTCGCACTGCCGCCATCTGGCGCTTCGCCTTTGGTTTCATCTTCTCTGCCGCCGTTCATTCCTACCCCCTGTTCTTCACTTTCCTCCCCTCGACGGCCACCACTATTCTTCCGTGAATCGCGTGGGGGGTGGTCGGACTCTCCTCCGGTCGCAGTTGATTCCGCCTTGCGGCTTGGACCCGTCCCAACCACTCCATCATCCTCGCTGGGCGTCGGCGAGTGTTGCCCAGAGGCATGAGCAGCACCCAGCGTTGTAGGCGACGAGGGTTTCGGCTGTGTACCATCAGCAAAGGGTCGTGGTTCTTCCTCCTCATCGAATGAATCGTTCCCGCACACCGGCAGTTCGGACGCCCGGACACCCCCTTGTATAAAATGCTCGCCGCCACTTTCGCTGACCTCGCTGGTCCCGCCATCAGAAGCCTCGGGCAGGGCAACCTGTCCTTCAGCCGGTGGCGGCGATGGCTGAGGAGAGCGAGGCGCAACCATTGTGGGGGCTGGCGGCGCCTGCGAACTAGACCCAGAGGCAGCAGCAACCTTTGCTGCTGTTTCCTCGAGCTCCAACTGGCGCAAACGCCTCCGCACCTGCCGCAGCTCTGCGGTCGTGTCCTTCACCGCCCCCATAAGCTCGCCTGCCGAGTCGTCTGGTAGCACGTTCGAAGAGTGCCTTGATCCGGGGGCTACTACGACGCCCGAAGCCGTGCCCCCTTCACTGCTGCGGGTGGCAGGGTCGTGACTTCCGCCACCTTGTCCGATCGCCACGCGGCCCCATCGCTGGAGGATGTCGCCGCCGCCGCCCATGCCTTTGTCCCCGGTGCTTGCCTCGAGCAGCTTCGACAGCAGGTCCTCGATCTTTTCCATCCGAAGAGACAAATCCGTCAGCACGGTGCTAGTCGTCGAAACGCTGCTCATCTGGTCTATCTCGGACGCCGTCAAAGGCCCCGCTCCCCCGGCACCCGCGGCACCTTGTCCCAGGTGATGAAGTTGAGAGGAAGCCGCGGGTGCTTGTCCCCCCTGTGTACTGGGCGTGGGAACATCACCACCCCGGACCGGTGTGCCAGTACCGGCCGGGGAAGGTGCCGGACGGTCGGGGTAAGAGGGATCTGAGGTAGACTTGCGGCTGCCGCTGCCCGGCCCGGTCCAAGGCCGCCAGCCACTGCCACCCGCTGTGGCAGCGCTGCCCTCGCTAGTGCGGGGCTCCTGAGGCTCATGGCGTGGCGATCCGAACAGGCTTCCCCGCCTAGGGCTTCTCAAACGCCGCACCCCTCCCGCTTCCGAGCGCGCCCGTTCCCCAGCGGGACTGTTGGTGCCGCTTCCCTGGTCTGCCTTGAGCGAGGCCGTCGTGAGCCCTGCCACTAGCCGACCGCCAAGCTTGCTCAACACCCCAGTGGAGTTTGCAGGGCGCTTCGACTTCAACCCCGCCGGGCCACCGTCCGGATCTCTGCTTGCGTCGGTGCCACCACCTCTACCAGGCACTCCGCCAGCACCTCCATCCCGACCTTGCGAAGGCCCGGGTGTAGAGGATGCCATAGAGACGGTCAGACCTGACGCGGCTGAGATCGCCGCCACGCTTGAATCTGCGCCCACTCCTGCCCCAGCAGCAACGGTGCCGCGCCTCCTCACGCGCTCGATACGGTCCGTTCCCGTCCGTTTCAGCTCGGCCACAAACCGCGCGAACTCGACCCCGTCGATTTTTCCCTGGCGGAAGCGGTCTTTGACCTCGAGAGACTTGGCAGAGTCGTCCAGCATCGGCTCCGATTCGACAGCCACTCTGCGGTGAGCGCCATAATATGTCGACAAGGCACACGCCGCACAAAGTTTTGGCAAATGTTGGCACACGGTGCAGATGATCGAAATTAGTAGGGAAGGAGACAAAGCGTACCGGCACAAAGCATTGCATAGAATTGACTCCACTGGGAACGTCTGCCTTGGGTTGTCACTCATCCGAAAATCTCGCGTCGGCTAGGCCGCTAGAAACCAAACCTCCAACCCAATTCGCTCAAATCAAACAAGAGGGGGGAAACACTGCACTGTACTTCACTACGCTTGCACCCACCTGAGCAAATGGTTCGGTGCTTCCAGGGCCGCTACTCGCGCCGTTATCAGCCACGCGGACCCAGGGTCAGTCTCGGGACTAAACGGTCCAGGCGCCCAAACGACAGCGTCCATCTCGAAAGCGTTGGGCACGGGCCGCAGCTTATCCGCCGGGGTGAAGCTTTCCTGAGGCATGAGCAGCCACAACGGCATCCACAGGTCTCTCTGGAGGAGCCCGTCTCCCCTTGCAGCAGCATCCGTTCTTGGCACGAGCGCGTCTGTAGCTCCTCCTCCGCCACTCCGCCTGCCTTCGGCCATTCGCGGAGATGTAAACCTCGAGGGCGCCGCCCACCCCCGCACCGCGATGTTGCGAGCGGCCGCGTAGGCCATGGAGTATAACTGTTCCCGCGGGTCCTCGCCGAACTCCCACCCGTTGATGGACACAACACCCGGGCCGCTGCTGCCACCGCCACCACCACCACCACTGCCGCTGGCAACGCGCCTGCCGACGTCTCTCGCCGGGCCTCCTGTGGCCGATCCAGCCGGCTGGAGGAAGTGGGAGCGTACGACAGCTTTGGAGCCCCTCACGTTGACTCCACCCGGAGACAGCAGCACGCGGCCGAACTGGTTGGTCAAGCACGCCACGACGTTGTAAGCGCGGATTAGCGCGGGGCGATCGCGGTACAGGCCCTCGACTCTGCGCGGATGCAGCCTCCCGGCACTCCCACCCCCATCGCCGCTCGTGCCGGCAGAAAGTGTAGGGTTAACTTCGGCCACACCCCGGCCCGGAGCGTGATGTCCTGAGCTCAAGTCCAACCCGTCGGCGTTACCCAACACCGCGGCTATCCCCGCCATCCGTCCCCTGTGGAGGGTGCTGCGCAGGCCCATTCTCCCGTCCCGGCGGCGGCCGCCACCGCCGGCCGTAGCCCCGACGATGTACGTAAAGTCGAGCGTCGTGCCGCCCCCGTCCTCGTCCAGAATTGCGGGCAAACCGGTCAGGGACTCCAGCCGAACCTGCCACTCGAGTTCTAGACCCGTGATCGCCGAACCCCGGAGACCCCCGCCACCGCCGCCGCCGCCCCCGCCGCCCCCGCCACTACCTCCCCCACCCCCGCCACTGACACCAGTTCCGCCGGTCATCCCCCTGCCGCCCATTCCGCTCCCGTTCCCGCCGCTACCACCACCACGACTCAGGTAGGCCCTCACGCAGAGCACGCGAAGGTTGCTGATCACGAGGATGATGGCCTGGCCCTCGCGCCTGTGGAGGAATTCCGTCGAGACCACAAAGTCGGGCTCGGGCATGTCGCGGCGAGATCGACGCCGCCCTTGCTCCTGTCGTGCAACGCACGTAGGACGGAGAGCGGAAGGTAGGTTAGCGAACAGGGGTCGACCGATCCCTTCTACAGGATGTGTACGGTTCCAACACAAAAATAACGGGAGGAAACCCACACAAGCCGTTCTAACCCAGAAAAGCACCTACAGCACAAGAATAGCACCTACAGCAGAAGCATACCTTCGGGGGCGGGGCCATGCCGCCACCGCCGCCGCCGAGCGCGCCAGCGTTCCTGCCCCCCTTCGCCCTCGTGGGAGAAAAGACTTCCTGAGGAGACCCCGGGTCGCTTACCGGAGAGCCCCAGCCCCCGCGAGGCGCGGGTTCCGTGATACCCAGGGGCTCTGAGGCCGTCGTGCCGCTGCCACCGCCACCCTCGGGGAACGGGAAGTACACGTCTTCCAGTCTTGTGCTTTCTAGCTGGGCCAGGCCTACGGCGGGTATCGATTCCGTCAGAGCTGATTTCCCTCCTCCTCCTCCTCCTCCTCCTCCTCCTCCTCCTCCTCCTCCTCCTCCTCCCCCTGTCGGAGTGGCCGCCGACAGGGGATTCGTGGGGACGATGGCCTCTCGAGAGTAGCTGTGTCGGTCCTGTCATGTTGCCGAAACCGGGAAGAAACGAAAACACAAGGATGACAAGGATGATGGACGTCGAGCAGGCGTGTTCAAGCGCTTTGGCTCTTACTGAGGCCGTGTCGGACGGCAACAACCTTCAGAACCCCAGCGTGCCTTGTACCGCACACACACCCGGGTCCATGGTGAGAACAACGCTTGCGGCAAGGGCCGCATGTGTCACGGGACACGCATAAGATAAGCGCTAGGTTCCGTCCGCCCTGAATACCTGTATGACTCACGACATCAGATCATATCCCCCTACCTCGGAGTCACGCCGAACATCTGGAAAATAATTCGCGGGGCTTCGCAAACACACGTGCTTCATTTACAACACAGCGGATCGCTAGAACTCAACACACTACTTCACGTCCTTCCCCGTATGATCCCGCCAAGATCTTGTGCGGCGACCGCTGTGCGCAAAACGCATTCCGTAGCACCCACACACACCTTCCAGAGCGGGAACCGCGCCAGCAGCAAGGCGCCGCACGCCGTTTCCGCCGTGCGGGGCATCATGCGACCGTCCGGCCCGAACGGCTGCGGGAAACGCGCCCGCTGGGCCATGAGCGCGGCGTCGCCAGCGGCGAGACCCCCGGCCATCTCCCTCACCGCCTCCCCCGTGTGAGTCACGGCGTCGAGACAGCCGACCATGGGCTTGGTGGCGACGCCAGCCAGGCCCTGGAAAACCCCTGTCACGAACCCCCGAGCGCCGTCCTCCTAATAAGACACACGAAAAGCCGATATACGTGGGATTGCGAGGGCGGAGAAGGACGTATTTGTTTGAGGTGGTATCAACCAATCCTATTAGACATACTCCAAAAGGTCGATGCACGCGGGGTTAGCGAGGACCGAGAAGGAGGTATATTTTCGGCCGCGGGGGTCAACCGGACGCAGATGTGTTGGTCGTAAATACGGCACCCGTGACAAGTGCACACGCTCCTCCTGCCTGCAACCCTGCGTCGAAAAGATCCGGGCCCCGCGAACTCACCAATGTTCAGCATAGAGATGTTTTCATCACGAAGCGTCCGATTGAAAGTCACAACGCGGCACGCGACCCATAGAAAAAACAAGCAGGATCCCAAAGGGAGGCCATGCAGACGAGGCCGAGCGCGGGGCAAAGCTACGTGAAGAAACAGAAACGATAACACGTCGGCGGTCCGACCTGCTCAATATATTACCGGCGGCCCTCTTCCCTGGTACGAAGCACAGACAAGGCACGTCACCTTCGCTCTCCGGTACGGCTCCACGGCAATCCCCGTCACCCCGTGGTAAACCCCGCCGCCAAGGTCTCTGACGGCGTGGACCAGCATTCGAGCCGCACCGGGGGGCCCGCCGCGGCCCCCCGTCCTGCGGTCGACCCCCCCCGCCCCGCCGGCCTCCCTTCGACGGTTGATGCGCCGCCGTTGGAACTCTTCGTCGAACGACAGCGCGGCGACGCCTCCGCCAACGGAACGCCTGTGGGCCGGGGATGGGATGAGTCAAGATAATCAGGCATGACCGTGGAGGAATCCCAGTAGATATTTGCACCCAAAAATTAAGACGGGATGGAACGCACGCAGTCGGTATCAGCCAGGAAACCATTGCACAAAGAGTACCGTGTGTTTCTAGAGCGGTCACCCCGTGGACGAAGACGAAGACATCCAAAGCCCCCGAGCCTTGACCCTTGTCCCTACATGACTCACGTGATCTTGGTGGTGAACCCTAGCACCCCGGACGTGGTGTTTCCGACTAGAGACATGGTCCCCTTCGCCACCCCCTTCCCGAACGCAGTGGGGCTCTTCATCAAGCCCTCCGCGGGCTCGTAGAAGAAGTCCTTCACCCCGGCACCCAGCTGCTCGCGTTAGACGGAAGGAGGAGAACACACACGCACACGAAGTTGGAAGTTGATACATACACCGCGAAGGACGTGGCATGTGATTCGATGCTGCCAATGAGGTTAGGTGGATGGGGTGAAGCAGATACCTCGGTGGTGCTCAACGCCGGAGATGGGGTGCGGTCCATGTAGGTGGCACCATAGGGTATGAGGAAGGACCCAGGGGGAGGGGGCAGAAGGGTGACCGCAACGTCATGCAGTTCGGAATTCGAAAACAAGAATGGTCCTCCCGTTGACGGGATTGTTCTCCTGGTTCATCTACTTACACTCTCACTCTGAAACCACGTGCGCATGAGAGAGTAATTGTTTTCGACAGCTAGACTTGAGTTGACGTGCGCATGAGAGAGTAAATGTTTTCGGCAACTAGGCTTGAGTTGACGTGATCATGAGAGAGTAAGTGTTCTCGACAGCTAGACTTGAGTTGACGTGCCTGACTTAGCACGCCCACAGGGTCGCCCAGGAAGTCGAAGCTCCCAACAATCTTGTACAGCTGCCTCAGGAGAGCACCGATGTAGTGGCTTTGGAGCGAGTTCGTGAGCTGAAAAAGTAAGCAAAAAACGACAAGTTAACGGAACGGGTTAGTGTCGGTTTAGTGTACGTGCGTGCGTCGGGGCGGACACGTCGGTGGGCGGAGGGGAAGAGGATGGGAGATGGGTCGAGTACGTACGAGGGGCAACCGGCCCTCAGAAGTGGTAAGGGTACGACGCTTTGCTCTTGAACTCAGCATACGCGGTGCAACACACAGGGTGGTGAATACTTGTCAGGGACAGAGGGGGGACTGGCCAAGCGAGAGAAAACCAACGGGGGAGGAGCTTGTAGTCTCGTAGTGTGTTCACGGGCACAAGACATTTATCAGGACAACTATTATCGCTGGACAGCTGGACACCTACGGTTGAACACAAACACCAGTCCTCCCACGCCTGCGACTCGCGACATTCTGAGGGGACCATTCGGAACACGCCCGTTGTGCATCAATCTCTACCCATGGTATCACAATCCGGACACCGCGCCTTTTGTGAGCTGCGGGCTCTTTAGTTAACTTTTGCTTGTGCTCTTCCCGAGGTCGGCCGTCATGGCCGCATGACTCCTACACAAATATCCCCGGCAGAGGCGCGTCTGTGACACCCACCGGCACAGAGACCATGGCCGTGTGTTTGATCGAAATAAAAGCAGTGCAACGTATCGTCGCAAAGTGCACGGATAAATCACAAGGCGATGGCGGTTCCGCACATCACATCACCACGGGAACAACGACAGGAACTAGATTTGCTCGTGGTCTCGCACACCTGGCGAGGCGTGTTCCAAAGGTGCGGGATCTTCATCCCGTTGAGCCGGACCGGCGACGTGCTGATGTCGTTAGTGAGGTTGATCACGAACTCCAACAAGAGTCGGGGGAAGCTCGCAGCCTTTATCGATGGCAGCAAGGACGGGCAAACGAGCAGGAACGTCAAGTCAGTTAGGCCGGCGTAGACATGGCTTGGCGGGTGTGAGTGAAAAAAAAACATTTTTACACACTACAAGGCACAGAACGACCTTCGCTTTCATCCATGATTTGCGGCGCGTGTGTCCCTAATTTTCAGCAGCAAACAAGCAAGCATACAATCTTCGCTTCTGTCCATGATTTGCTGCGCCTGTGCCCCTACTTTTCGGCAACAAGCAAGCCAGCGTCTCCTCATTGCCTACAAAAACGGAAACCATACATAGTTGGACCCAACAGTTGTACTCGTGTCTAGATGCTCGCGGCGTGGAATGAAGCTGTTTCTCTACGGCAAAATGTTGCCTATTGTGACGCAACTCATGATATGTTTGTAGGTTGATCGTCATAGGACCAATAGAGAAAGCGCGATCGAAGATCCGGGTGGTTGGAGCGTTTTTTTTTGCCGACGCAACCTCAACAAACCACAGACAACGACGACGTTTACGAGAACGACTACCGCCAACAACCACAACCACTATTGATTCTACCTGGCCCGCCAGGCCGTGGCTGGGGGGAAGCGGTAAGTCTCAGTTCACTCGTAAATCGGAGGGAGAGGTTACAGCAACTACAGCCCGCAGCAGTGAATCTAAGCTGGTCGTACTGAAGCCGGTCGACACACAAGACTGACACAGGGGACTGATTGTGTTCCTCTCATACATGTCATCAGCGACGAATAGGGGGGGTTGCCTTGCAGCCGCCCTTGAAGGTAAAAAAACTTCGGCAAGCGCTTCGCTATTTCCCGACCCGATGGGTTGGCTCACCAGGCCGTGAGTGAGAGAAGGTGGCGGAGCTTTGGTCCTCCCGTCCACCCTGCCCTCGAGCAACTCCCACTCCATCTTCTCTTGCTCCCGCTGGTCCAGCAGCCGGAACAAGTGCTGAAAAGGGAATGACGCATCCATTCATCCATCCACCGCACGAGAGCAAAGCACAACAAGAACACCAGACGTCACGACGTTGTCAGCTCCTGTCACTGCGCAAAAGCGGCAAGGCCCACTTCGATGTGTTCAGAGAAAGGGCTCCACGAAAAAATCGAACGGCTCGAAGTTACAAGCGCGTGCCCAGCAGCACCCCTGGGCCACATGTGCAGCCAGTTCGTACCATCCAAAACAAAATAAGACGTCTGGAGTGCTCCGGGCCAAGACCGTCAGCCCGCCTTTCGGTGATTTCCGCAAGTTTCGAAACGCGAGCAGCAACAAATACGCAAGGCTAAAGAGAGTCGACAAAAAAGGAAAAGCCTGCCCACGTCACTTCTCTTTGATTCTCTACCTTGACATCCGCATTCTTGATGAAGCTGAAGTTGAGCTTGATGGGGAAGAGCTGCATGGCCGCGATGTACACGTGCAGCTCCTCGTCCAGCAGGAAGGCCCCCCTTCCCGCGCCACCCCCGCCCCCGCCCCGGCCCCCGCCTCCTCGCCGCGCGCTACCGCCTCCACCTCCTGCGCCGCTCGCACTCTCGACTGACCTCCGTCGCTTCGCGTCCTCCTCTCCCTGCCCTTGGCCGGAGGTATCCGCTCCTTGGAGACCACCTCTACTTGAGCCTTCGGTTTCAGGTTTTAGGATTGGAGGACGGCGGTCAGGACGGACCAGCTTTAGTTTGTTGTGAAAGAGCAACACAAATTGGCTTGGGCTAGGAAGAGGAATGGGACAGAGGAGAAACGTCTGCGCCAGCAACAATTTAACACCAAGCGCGATTGCAAGTGCGCGATGGGCGTCTTGTCCTGACACAGAGTGTCCGAAATCTGAAGCGTGTCGAGAGGACACAAGCGTGTTCCACACATGCCAATTGTTGTCAGCCCGAAGCAAAACAATTCGACCCTACCCCTCCCCCCCTCCCTCCTTCCCACTTCCTCACCTCCTGCGATGCCCTCATCCATTCCGTCCAATCGCCGGCCGCTTCCTTGTCGCACCTGTGGCACTGGCACAGGAGCCGACGCCGCTGCCTGTAGGGCCAAGAGTCCGACGGCTTTGCGGTTGTACACGTCGTGCGATGCACGCTGGTAGTCCAACCGGTCCACCACGAACTGGTTTTGTGCAAAGCAAGGGTACGGGAGGGAGAGGGGGGGGGATTCGTGCGGGCTGGCCGCGGTGGACGAGTGTTCCGCATTTGGGGGAAACCTTAAGGCCATTCCATGGTGCGCGTGGTTCAACTGTTAACCTTCTGACTCTCGATGCGGTCTGGAACTTGAGATAAGTGGCAAAAATAAACGCAATGGACAGGGAGGGAGATTCGCTACAGACAAATGACGCAAAGCAGAACACAGCACCTCAACAAATACCGCTAGGAACAAACTTAAAGATTGTTTCCTTTTTCGTTCGCGGGCGTGCCAGAAGGATCCGAAACAGCGTCGATTTGCGAGAGCGCCACCCGCCCAGGCAAGGAACACCAATGGCACCACCAATCGCCATTCACCGTCCACGCCAGAAACGTGGAACAAATTCCCGCGGAAAAGGCGCCCATCTGCACCCACCTGTACGAGGTCAGTGAGGATCGCCTGCTCCAGTCTCACGTCCAGCTCCTGCAGCATTACCGCCACGTACTGCACGAATCGTGGCATCGCCCAAGGTACGGATGAACAAGCGTGAGAGGCAACATATCGACGACAAGAACGAAAGTTGTTTTAGTGGACAAACGCGACCGGATTGCTTTCCGTGGGTAGAAACCCGTCGTGATTAATCGACGTAGCAGCGATTCCGGCGCGCCAACTGCTCGAAGAAAAAGTGTGGATGGCAGGCAGCTCGAATCCCGCGCTTCCGACATTCTAGCTCCACGCAAGGAGAAGCATCACAAGACAGCAATTCTAGACCGCACATCACAAGACGTTTCTACAGTAGCGATTCCGAGTTTTCCGACTCCAGCCCCGCGCAAGCAACACGATACGAACGTGCTTGTACGGGGGAGACTCGAGGTCGCATCAGCGGGCACGAGCCGTCTGTATATCGAGAAACACCACCCCACGAAAAAACAACATGCGCCACCACCATCCCATGCCTCCTCCCACGCCCCACCTCGAAGTGGTTGAGGTGGCTGTGGCTCTTGACGTTGTTCCGGATGAAGCTCATCTGAAGCGTGGCCTGCGGGTGTTTGACGATCGTCGGCGCCACCACCACGGGGGCCACGGGCTCCTGGGTCTGGTTGTCCAGTTGCACCCAGCCCACGACACAGCTGCCCCTGGTCACTTCCTGCAAAAACGTGGCGAGCGAGGTGCCCCATTTCAGAGAAAGAAAGCACACGCAACACTGTGTTCTTTAGGCGTGGTATTCTCGACGATGTTCCGGCACGTTTACGACACAAACGCAGAAAAGTGCGGGGTAGGCAGGTGTGGATAGATGTGGAGTCATCGAACTAGGAAACTTAACAACGAGCCGAAGACGCCGACGGGGTTCGTGCGGTCTCTCGCAGCGCAAGACATATTTTCATTGGACAACAGCAGTGAGAATTCGCTCTTTGGCACGAGACATCAGGCGACCGCGCACGAGATGCAACATGCTGCCAACAAATGCATCAAAACTCGGGAGGTAAAATATCCGCACCTGTGATTCGGCGTACCGGCCGTCTACATCCCTGACGGAAAGGTGCAGCAGCTCCTTGGCACGCCTGGTGAGAGTACAGAACAACGCAACGTTGGACGACGGCGGGATAACCGCAACCACGATAGGGAGAGGGCGTCATTATCAGGGCAACGACATGAAATCACCCATACTGGGAAAGACATACTACACAAGAATTACAATGGTCGGTCTACACCACCTCGCCAAACTATTCTGAGATTTGAATCAGTGTGCACCATAAATTAACAACGAAGCCACGGTGCATGACTAGGGGAGGGCAGGACGGCTGGTCACCGGTTCGTTGTTGACGGACAAAAGCCGTGACGTTACAGACAGCGATGCTTCTGCACTACAAGAGAGAGTTACTTGTACGCGCCCAATTGAGGCTCGTGTTTCGCACCACAAAAATGTATGCAAAATAAAAGAAATATGCTACAATAGCAGGTGTAGGTTTTCGACTGCTATCGCCGATTGAAACAACGCAAAGACCGGCGGGCGCTTGACAGTATCGCTGCGGCCCCCGAACGAATTCATCAAAACTCCCAGCTTGCAATAACCTTACTGGCTATCTTAGGGGGTCAGGGGGGGGGGGGGCATAAGGATTTCCGGTAAGAAGGGTCTGATCTGCCCGCGGAAACACACGTACCCCAAGACTTGCAGCAGACCGTTGGCTCCGCGAGAAGAGTCTGTAACCGAAAGGCGGTGCTACATGTCGAAACCAACCAGCCTAACGCAACCAAGCGAACTCACTGATTGTCGACGAGGGACATGGACACTTCCCCGAGAAGAGCGCTAACGTACGACCGGCTGCGGCCCTGCGAAACTTGCAGCAGACCGTTGGCTCCGCGAGAAGAGTCTGTAACCGAAAGGCGGTGCTACATGTCGAAACCAACCAGCCTAACGCAACCAAGCGAACTCACTGATTGTCGACGAGGGACATGGACACTTCCCCGAGAAGAGCGCTAACGTACGACCGGCTGCGGCCCTGCGACGACGCCGACCCGTGCCCGTCGCTGACGGACTCGCTCGAGCTGGGGCTCCATCGTGCGGCGAGCTAACATTAAACACATACGAAAGAGATTAACCCAAAAAAAATCAGGAGCTGGGTGAAGCAACGACATCAAACAACATCATCGCGGACGGCACGACGAGACAGGTCGAGCTACTACGTTCGTTGTCTTCACCCGCAACATGGTACACCCATGGCCACGTGATTTTCGGGGACAACAGAGCGTCTCAGAAAAAAAGGCGAAGGACACCTGTAAACAATCGGGCGCCCTCAATCTTCGGGACAACCACGCCTCAGGCGAAAAGACGAGGGACATCTCTATATATACAACTGGGTGCCTCGAACGCCGCGGCGGCACGACGGGTTGAACGGGATAGGGATATGTCAGCCACCAGTGGCGGCGGTCGGGTCCTTGCCATGCCAAGGGTGCGACGCTGGTACAAAAATCACAACTTTCATACACACCCGAACGATCGCGGTTACACTTTCCGAGCTTTAAGCCTGTGTAATTTCGCAGAAGACATTTCTAACGGAGAGAGAGTCGTACCGATAAAAAAGCAAAGGGCGAGAACAACTCTACCTGAATGATGGGGTTGTAGTGGGCGAAGTCGGTGGCCCTCCGCTGCTCCATCGCAGTCGCCCATGTCCCTCCGTCGCTCCCGCCGCCGCCACTGCCGCTACTGTCCTCAGGCCCTGCGCCGAACTGTTCGTCTTCCGTCTTGTGGGCCGGGGGGGAGAGGGGATACCAGCGCTGAGGTAGGAGAAGGACAGGGGGGGACGCGGAATCGAGGGGGGGAGGGGCGCGTATGGAGCGTCAGCATCTATCTCCCAGCGGTGAGATACGATGGGGAGAGAGTCGGAGTCAGTCGTTTACGTGTGGGACACGGTGATGAACGATCTCGGAACAATGTTAGCGTGCCCCTCTGCTGGGTAAGGTGAAAAGCAGTCCTGCGAGCAAAAAAACAAAAAAGTACAAAAACGCGTTGAAGCGCTCCCTCTGTAGACCTACAGCTAGATGGTGTGGCGAACATTGCCACCGGGTGTTGGAGGGAAGGGTGCTGCAAATTACCTATAGACCTGTGGTGTTCTTGCAGACGCAGGCTTTCGCCGGTGATGGCGTCGGGCAAGAAACAATGACTCTTGCTGGTTGGCAGGACTTGTGTGTTCTGCCCTACTCCGAGTACATACTGTATCAGATGAGGAGCTTGCCTTTCTCCATGAAGCACCAACAACATTTCTTTCCCCCTGGCCATCCTGTCTGCAGCAAGAAGCACGCATTCTTCGTTGGTCATGGGACACCATAGAACGACACTCGCCGGCCTGGTATGTTCACAGGTACTGACTGCTGCATCCTCTGCAGCGCGATACCATCCGTGCAATCGCAGCACGCGTCAAATGCTGTTAAAGCACGCCCCTTCGTAGCCAAAAAAACTTCAGTCTCACCAAATCGCATACACAGTGTGGGGACCACACAACAGTCACTTCAAAAATAGAGATGCTGCTGCAACCGCGGATCTTGAGAGGGGTCGCAAACTGACTATATACCCTTTGAATGCACAATTCTCGCCTGGTACTCCGATCTCGCCCTGAATGAGCAGCAGTCGATCAGCCCACCAAGCTGCAGGTCAAGGCGGCCGATCTCAACGTCCGAGCGCAAGTCCGTCACGCCCATCACGCCCACCTCGGCGAAAACGCTCAAGCTGGCGAACGGGCGTGGGGGGCACGGGTTGGGTCAGGTTACATTGGCTAAAGGGTTGGTTCAGCAAAGGTTACCCCGGAGTGCGTAGAGGAGTTTCATTCCATGCTTGCTTGGTAGAATGCCCTTGTTATTGTTTGCTCAACACGCCCGTCGTCGGACCGACATAGTCAAAACACCCGAGGCCCACAAAGAGGAACGCATGCCTGGGCAGGAGAAGAAAGAGATTTCGTGTGCGCGTGGGTTGCGATGCCAAGTCGAAGACTACTTTCGACAAAAACACATCAGCGACAAAAAAGTAACAAAAAAACATTTGCCAAGCCGTTCTGAATACACGTTCACCCAAAGGCAGTACATACCTTACAGCAACCAAGAGCCAAACAGCTGCTAGTAGACCCGCACAAAAGATCACTCAAACCTAAACTATGACACAACGTACCTGAGGGTGCCAGAAGCCTCCAAAGCCTCCACCTTGAACTCGCACACGGGCTGGTTGCGGTCCCAGGTAGGGGCGGCCGCGACGTTGGCCTTGGTGCTCTTCCACACGAAATCTCCCCGCTGCAGATGTGTCTGCACGACCACGTACACTCGCCGCTGTGTATCGGCGAGATGCAGCGCCTGGTACATGCGTAGCACACGGTGCGGTGGCCCGTGGCGCGACATGGTTGACCGAGGTTACCATCGAGACCGAGGCCGATGGAAATCAAGGCCGGTTCAAGGGGAGGGGGGGGGGGGGCAAACGAGGTAAATCGCAAATAAGCGTACCATAAATATCAACGTCGAGGATGATCGATGGTAGATACTATTAATAACGGCTGGCGTCGTTTCCTTGGCGAATTGGGATAGACGGTGACCACTGTTATATCACATCAACTCGGAAGAGTCGAGCGTCTCTACAAAAGTTTTGAAAGTGACGTTGGTACCGGGGCGAGGGGTCAATTCTCGCCGACGCACAAAACTTGTCAACTCCCAGGCGCACCAGCGGCTGCTCGGTGTCTCGATTCAAGTTATGCTTGTGCTTTTTGACGCCACGCCTACAAGCACAACAGTCATGTTAAATGCCTGTGAGACTTCCTAGTCGAAGACGCAAAAACCAGCAACGGTCAGCACGCGCTTGTCGGACTGGTTGCGAGCCTGCTTGTCGTGGAAAACAATACTTAAGCACGAATCAACGTTCTTGCACCACCACCAACAACAACAACAACAACAACAACAACAACAAAAAGCAAATACCCCGCTGCTACGGATGGCCAATACACAGCGGGCTCACAAAACGCCTCCGTCAGGAGGGACGAGCACGTGCCCATTGTCTACGCATGTTTTCGATATCATTTTCCTTGCCTGGAGGGGCTGTATCCGGAGAACACCGCCATCTCGCATGACTCGCTGGTGGCTCAGGTCCATCTCACACACCACGGCCTCCCTAGTGTGCCGCAGGAGGTCCTTCAGGCTCGGCCGTTGGAGGAGGGGCAGCATGGACGCCTTGCGGACAAATAATGAACCATGCCAACGCAGGAGAACATAAATAAAGAGTGGGACAGAGACAACGAGCAGAAACGGCTCCGGGAGACAGATCTACCAACAAAACCGGGCAAAAAGTGGCTCAAGAAATAGAAGCAAAGAAATGCATGGCCGACACCGGATTTCGCAAATCCATCGGTGTTTGTTTACGGGTTTACTGCTGTCAATCCCCGTCTGCACGTCGTCAGGCACACACCTGCTGCTTGTACTTCCACAGGGGATCCCTCTGTCGCGCCAGCTCCGCCTCCGCAGCCGCCGCAGCAGCAGCCGCGGCAGCCTTGAACTCTGCAGCTACCGCCCCCGCATCTGCCGCCGTCTCGATCTCTCCTGCCCCGATGCCCGACCACGTCTCCCTGGGATCAGCAGCGCCGTAGCTAGCTACATCGGTCACCATTTCCTGTTGATGGTGCGTCATGTCGGCTGTAGCGGAACGGGTTGCCCTGGTAGCGCCGCCGCCGCCACCGCTGTTGGCCCGCGAGACCGTTGACGCTAACCTGGGTATGGTACGGGTGGGTCTGCCCGCTGCTGCTATTCCTGCCGATGCTGCTCTGCTGCGGCCGCCGCCGCCCCCGCCGCCGTTCCCCTCGGTGGCGCTATCTCTGCCAAGCCTTTGGTCAAAGAGAGTCGTAGCGTCTTCGACGGTGTTGTCCTCACCGGCGCCGCCGCCGGGTGCGCATGGGGAAGCGAAATTCCTTGCCGTGGTGGCGTTGACGCCAACCTCGGCGTTACCTGCCGCCGCGATAAGGTCTACCGCGCTGTTGTTGAAGGTGCGTGACCCTCTCAGCGCGTTGGCGCGCACCTGGGGGGATAAAAATCACCGGAGGCGGCGGAGGGGGCATTTGGTGTGGAATATGAGCTGCATGGAGAAGAAGGCAATATCTTCTAGGAATCACGGTGTCTTGAAGATGAAACACACCGAAAACAAAATTGAAATTTCTTGAGGGCCTCCTGCACCCGTTTCGTGCTAGAACAACATCCAAGTTCGCCATTTTGCATTGGGGTTAGCCGTGGCCCAGCTCTCGCAGCGGCAAAAATAACGCCGCGACCGACGCAAGCACTCCTCTGCTCAGGGCGGAAAAGAGTAATACTGGGTGCATCCATACACCATAACTGCCGAACTCCCAAGTCCTTTTCAAATGTCAAAGATGCACAGGGTTCGGCGTGAATACCGTACGTGAAGCTACCCTCATCCACGCGGCGGGAAAGACGGCCAGCACACGACACGTGCACCTACATGATCCTCGCGCACGACTAAGAGGCAGACAGACAGACAGACAACGTGCCTGAAGGTTTGCTTGCGCCTGCCGTTGCCGGAAGCTAAGCTTCCTCGTCAACCGTTTCAAGCCCCTGGTCTGCGAGGATGTGGATCCCTCCGGCCCAGCGCTGGGAGCCGGAGATCCGCCCGCGCCGCGATCGTGTTGCAGGTCCTGCTTGAAATCGACGACTCCTCCGTCGGTGCTGTTCGGAAGCGGGGACGGCGACTGCGAGTTGCTGCCTGATGAAACAGAGCGGACACGCGGGCACACGGGCACACCCGTTGGAGTGGGCTATATTGTTTACTTTTAAGACGAAATTAAAATTCAGAACACACGAACATTGTCCGAAACGTCAAATAGTTCGTGCAAAATCTTTAGTCCGTCGTCGAAGAACTTGGAAGGTACCTTACCTTGGGTTGAGTTGCCGATCCAACTCAGAATTGGTTTATCATCGGTTCCAAGCTGCGGGAAAACACAACCATCACCGCAACGACGCGCAAGCATTGCCAGGCAGGGAACAGCATAACCCCTATTCGTTCAGCACCCATCGATCGCCAGTAACCCTCCTTACAACAAGATCAAGAGAGGAACAGAAACACGGCCAACATCAGTTTCTCTCCAACGGCTGTCCAATCACCGGTTGGCCGAGCATAGATATGCAATACAATGTAGACCCGACCGAACTATACCTTCTTCAACCGTCAAAGCGCCCACTGCTGCCGCCGCCGCGCTGGCCGGCACCGCGCCCCTCAGGGTCCACGCCGACAGCCGCCTGCCGCCCATACTGATGGACGACCGCATGCGCCTGGGACTCAAGGACGCCAGCGACAGCAGAGAACTTTCCGCCTGGCCGCCACCATTGGTGTCCCCACCACCCGCACGCAGCCCCTCGGCGTTGATGCTAAACCCTGGCCCCCCTCCCCCGCTGGACGGTGAGCTCAAGCGCGCGACGATCCTGCTGCCGTAGCCATGTGCGCTCGGGCTCGCCAGCGTCAGGGAGTTCGCGCGGACGAGCTGACCGCCGGGCGTGGTGATGGTGGCGCCACCCCCTCTCAGCGGCGACTTGAAGGGCGGCGTCTTGCGGTGGTCCCCGTGGGCGCTGCCTGTGCCGTCTTTGCTGTCGGAGCCGATGCCCTTGAAGCCCATCTTCTCGAGGTGCCTCTTGAGCCGGGCAATCTTTGAGTTCTCCTTCCGTCCGCGCACCTATATGTGTACCACAAGCGACGTAGCCGCAACGATTGGGTCATAGGGTACGAAAAGGAGAGAGGGCGGGTCAGGTACGTCAGTCTGGGGAGTTGCCGTCACTATTGATATGCAACAGCAGAGGCGAGGTAACTGGCATCAACACTCCAAAGAGCTTGTCACGCCTCACATAACCTAGCCCGGAGGCGTCGACAACCAAACGACACGTGATATTTTCAACACTCTTTGCCCAGAAGAAAGCTGAATTACCGTCATGCCGAGCTGAGTTTTTCTGTCTTTCGCCTCCTCCTTCTTGAGCCTCTCGATGAGCAACCTTATCCGCTGCAGTCTAGCTTCCACGGTGCCCAGGAACAACTGTTGGTTTTAATGGTGCAATTCACGAAACACGACAGCCGGAGGTCCAACGCGGAGACGCCAAGGAAATAAAAAAATGGGGAGGAGCAACCGCGTTGCAATACGTTCTTAAGGTTAATCTCAAACCGACACGGAGACTTGAACCGGCCACCAACACGGATCAAACTACCGGCAGGAACACATGCCAACGCAACCAGCTAGGCTCGTGGCCACAGCAGCAACAGCAGCAGCAGCAGCAGCAGCAGCAGCAGTGGCGGCGGAAATCATCAACCAGCAACAGCATCACGCCCGCCTCTTCTTGAAACCCGTCTGATGAGAGAATAATATCACACACACGCAGAGCTACAAGACCGGCTTGCCCCCCCGCGAAAAGGGGGTGTATCCATACATACACAGTCGGTTTCTTGTAGCCCCACCCAAACACCACCCACCCGCCTCACCCACCTCTAGACCTCGAATCTGAGTGTGCAATAGCGCATCCAGGGAGAAGACCCATTGGACGCGAAGCTTGACGGAGCCAGCGATCTTGTCCCCGGCGGCGAGGTGCATGAGACGGGAGCTCCGGCGATTGAGGGGGAACCAACCCACGTGCTCCCTCTCGTCCTGTCTCGTTTCGCGTCGTCAGTTTGGGGGAACACAATGTCAGTTTCATGTATTTTCGGTCACGTCACTGCTGTTCGCGGGTGGCACCTCTTGCAAACTTGACGCACAGCAGCAGCAGCGAAGGGTTCAGCCACCAACAGAAAAAAAATCAATACTCGGACCTCTCAACACGACCTTGAGTCAGTAGTTAGCACGGCTGGCCAAACAGTCGAAACACTTTCGTGTTGAGACGATAGCAGGAGCAGCAGCAGCAGCAGCAGCAGCAGCAGCAGCAGCAGCAGCAGCAGCAGCAGCGAAGCGGTCAGTCACGAACAGAAAAAAAAAAAGAAAAGGCCGTTCAATACTGAGCACTGCTGTATACACACCCGAAATGGATGGTTCAAATTTGGACGACAGCAGTAGCAGCAGCGGGAACCACGACCAAAAACATGAGAAAAACGTCCGGCCTCGTCTGCCTCACACCTGAAGCAGAGACAACGGCACGTCCGCTTGCCCGAGGAAGTCATTCGGCCGAACCAGGTTCCGAGACAGAACCAGCACCCGTACGCCGTGGCCGCGCTTGCGCTGCACGGCCGCCGGGGGCACCTACAGTCAAGAGATGGGAGTTTGGACGACGGAATCGAGATTTTATGGGCTTCTTCAAATCAACGTGGGTGGCATCCAAAACAATTCCCATCGTCTTCGCGATTGCGGAACACGGGATATCCCAACCTCGCGCACCAGCAGTGCGTCCAAAGCTTTTTCCAGTCAACCACATCCTGACTCTTCGTGCCCCAATGACAAAGAGCACAACAGCTCTTCAAAGACTGTACGGCCACACCAGCGGCGAGTGAATGGCAGGTGACTAGCATTACTAACAAATTCACAGGTAACGCTCAACTGTTGGTCTCGCATCACAAAAATAATAAAAGATCAAGGCGGGCGTTGCGTGGGAGGCAAGCAAGCGCTACACGCTTCACGCATTCCGTTGTGAAACGTCGTGTTCCAGAACAAAAACAACAGGCACGCACATAGCTGCCTATGTACGTACCTTGAATATGAAGCGCTGCCCGGACCACGTCGGGTTCAGCGTCTTCTCGCAGAAGTAAGTCTCCCCGCGCTGTCCGCGAAATCGGTCGTCAGCGGACTTGGATCCCCCGGTGGAGTCGGGGATTTTGAGGTAGCACACGCAGTAGGGGTCCGAGTAGCCCTGGAGTCCCGTGGGGCGAAGGCTTGTCGCAGCCAACACCTGGCACAACCACAAAAAATATAACGTCATGAACTCATTGCCAAAACTATCCTGCACTCTTTTCTACTGCTGTGGATATAGATTACATGTTTTTGTTTTCGTGAAAAAAATAATAATAATACGAACACGTCACGGCATGACGTGCAAAACAAATGGGCGGGATGGTATCAGGCGGGGAAGAGTTCAAGATTCAGAGCGGATACTACGAAACGCAGCAAGCAGCAGGTCGAACGGGGTAGGGTCGAAATCCAGCCTGAAGCACCAAATATCAACGACATTTCACACGGACGAATACGGAATTCTTTTCAAAGTCGATTGTTGATGGAAGGATGCCGACTGCTACGGTAACGCCATCCTTCTACTGCCGCATAGACACTGACACTGACACCGACGCGTGAGTGCTCGACAACAAAAAAAATCACATGTCGGTATTCGAACAAGTGTTGGGCTTCACCGAAGTAATCGGTGATCAAACAAGTGTTGGCTTCACACTTTGGGAAATGACTACAAGCAGGTGATTCGACTAAAACACAAAACAAATTGCTCTGTGACACGCTGAGACTCACCTCGACGAAGACTTGGTGTGTCTCCGTGATGCCAACCCTCATCTCGTTCGCGAGCACACGCTCAGCGTCCAACACCTGCAGGACCTGAGCGCATACGCAGGCCGCACCACAGCAGAGACCAGGGTGTGCGGTTTACGGGTGTACCCGGTTCAAGGAACGGCACCGGTGACCGTTCAGAGATTGGTCGACAAAAAAGAAGAACCCGACCCGACCCCACAAAAAAAAGCGGCAATATTCCTTACAACCGCAACAAAAACACAAAAACACCCCTCCTACGCCAAGTCAAATACACCTCTCCGGTCCACTAACGTAGTCAGGGCTCTAACTTGAACGGAGGTCGGCCAGTGGCACTCTTGAAAGTATTCCCAACTAGCTCTTCGTTCTCCGGGCGATCATCTCGTTACAAACCACCCGACAATAGCGACAAGGTGGAATCAACGGTGCATCATTGAGGTCAACTCAACACACCAAACATATTAACCCCTTTGGGTCTAGCTCTTTCTTTTTTCGGCACAAGAAAAAAGAGAACAGAAAGTGCGGGAGAGAGAGAGAGACAAAAATACAGCAGAAAGAGAGAGTGTACTCCTTGTAGACGAACAGCTATCTCCACCCACAGGCCATGAGGGCAGCCCGCGACAGGACGGTGGGCACAGAGAGGGTCATACAAGGGTTGATGCGTGGTCGCGGTGCGGCAGTTAGGGCAGGCTAGGCTTGTAGACCTCGAAACGATCAGTGGTCAAGCCTCCTAAACTACTCTATTTTCAGTATATTTAAATGATCAGTGAAAAGGATCAGTAAAAATGATCAGTGAGAGGGCTTGTAGACCCTAGCTGGTTCTTGTACTTCTGTACTTCTCTGTCCCCTCCCCAATGTGGGCCCTGCCGGCTCTCTACAGCTCCTGTGATTTTCCCAAAGTTCCCACAAGCACGCAGGCACACACAAGCACACATCTACCTTTACATCAGTGGCTCTCTAGGTTCGGGCGAGGGTATGTGTGGGGCTATGATGATAGTGTATGTGTTACGCTGTGTAGGTATAGCTGCTGACACGATGACTGCAGGATCTTGGGAGTGTACGATTTTCAAAATTGGAGGATATGCAGCATACCACGATATTCTGGCCTGGTTGGCACTATGTAACGTCTTTTCATTGGTCACCAGGTAGCGCGGTCGATGCGAATAAGAAAGGCACACCTACCTATGAACTTTCCAACACCTGGCGTGGAGGGATACAGGGCGGCAACTCCATGGCATGCCACAACACCAGCATTTGCAAATGATCAATCAATGATCTGTCAGGACGCCTGTAGACCCAGAAGGGTTAACAGTCGAACATACACACGTCTACACCGATTCCCTTTGCCGATCTCCGTTGTCCGGCACGTCACCTGCGTCGAAAATTGACTGTTAGGGGACTCTTCGTCTGGCTGTTAACTTTATCGAGTCTATGGATCATTTTATTCCTCCTTGTTATTCATATTTATGTATCCTATATTGTCGTTAGGCTGCGGAGGGTGTCCGTGTCAGTGGAACCCGTACAGATGCTCCAAAGGCACTGAGCAGAGATCGGAACGGTTTGTCAAGTGTCAAGACACAACAACAACAACAACAAAACGTACGGTTGGCAAAGCAACAGTGCTTGGTAAGACAAACACGACGTCCACCGGAACACAACCAAAGCAGCAATGACTAGACCCACCAACAGGCTCGCTCAAAAGGCACGAACAAACTTGCACGCTACGCGCACCTTTGGCTCGTCCATGCCCAGACTCCTCTCGAGCTCGCGCAGCTGCTTCATGCTCATCGGCTCCGTCTCATCAACCGCAACGGCATCCGCCGGCGTTACCACCCCAGGACCCACCGGTGACAGCGCCAGCGGGTCTCCGCCTTGTCTCCGCCGCGAGGGAAGAGACCTAGAGCCCGCTCTCGGAGTATCGGCCTTTGACGACAACGACGCCGGCCTTCCGTTCTCCGTAGTGGTGTTGTTGTTCGGCGTTGCCACAGGGCTTGCGGAGTTGCTCCACGCGCTGACGGCGGCGGCGGCGGGAGTGAAGTCGCGCCTCAAAGCGGAGGGGCCCGTCCACGTCAGTGACACCGCCTCGGGAGAGAGCTGACTGGATCGGCCCTCCAGCGCCGCTAGCGCGCGGAAGTGCGTGCGCCGGCTCCTCTCAATGGCGTCTTGTTGGCTCACAAACGCAGTTAGATACCTTTAGAACCCACGAACAATTTCCGTTGTGTTGAGAGACAAAGAGAGGGGGGAGGGGGGCGAATCAGGGCAGCCGATAGACACAACACGTACCCAAAGGAGACCAAGGAAAAAAACGAGTTCGAAAGAGTCGTGCGTTAAGGCAAAAGAGATATCTTTCACAAGAAGTGGTACCACTAAATAGGCGCATTTCAAAAACAAAGGGGCGGGGAAGAAAATAAATTCCTTTTGATCACTCGCGTCTACATACACACCCAAGCATGGCTTCTGTATCGTCCAACGGCCCCCGCTCTCTCCCACTCACCTCAGGTATTTGTCTAGCACGAGCCGGCCCTGCCACTCCTGTCTCACCAGAGACGCCTCCTTCGCCCCGAACGTCGAGATGGTCCGGCGGATGTCCTTGTGGCTCGAGATCAGCAGCACCCTCGTCCGGCCCTCCGCGCTCACGCGCGCGTGGACGTGCTTGGCGCCCGACACGCTGCCGCCCCTCCCCAAGTCCGCCGAGGAGGACCTCTCGCCTCTCCCCGCCCCACCACCGACGCTGCCGTCGCTGCTGCTACGGTGGCGAGCCTGCCCGCCTTGCCCGCCACCGCCCCCCCCTCCCATGCGGGCGCTATCGCTATGGTCCCATTCCCACTCGGGGAGCGGCAGCTTTTCCTCGGTACCGATTTCGTCCAACCTGCGTGTCGATTACGCACGTTGGTAGCGCAATTGCAACGGTGGGAACGGTGGGTGTGATCGCCGTGTGTTAGTGGTGTGTATCTCTCACTCGTGTTACCCGGATGATTGGGGGCAGGTAGGTGAGTGCGTGGGCGGGTCGATGCAATGGATCGGCAAAACTGCGGGGATATCGAACGTGCTTCATATGTACTCAACGGCTTGCCTCAGTGGCGCAAGGCAGGCGGGGGTGCAGCACGAACACAAACAACCAACAGAGTGCCCCCCAAACAACACGACACGTTCTCGACTCTCTGCACCCAACCACCCCCGCCAGCGGCGCAATTTCGTCACGAACCTCAAACCTATTCTCTCTGCTAACGCACTTTCAAACACACGGTTTTAATGAATGGAGAAGATTACCAGATTGGTACATACAGCAACGAGCAGCGGGTCCGACCTCATACGTCGCACATGTATACCGGTGTGGGTGCGTGTTTATTGGTTGTTTGTTTCGTGTGCACGACAATAATACGGGGCAAATACCTGATGAGCTTGATCGGCCCCGACAGCGTCCCCGCCTCCTCGGAGGAAACCCTCCCCACGCCCCAGGCCTGGAGGTGCGCCGCTGCCACGGCTGGAGCACTGCCGCCGTCCCCGCGGTTCAGGTCTCCGCCGCGCAGGAAGTCCGGCCCCACCCTAACGAGCAACCGGGGAGGAAGAAGCGGCTCTTCCCAGACGTAGCTGGTTTCAGGAAGGGGTAGGGGGGGTGCGGAATGGGGAAGGGGCAGGAGGGGGGTGTCTTAACTGTATGCTCAAGACTGTGCGGCGACACGACCAATGGGCGGCAGATTGCGTCCCAAGTACAAAGCAGGGCGCCATTTTCGTACCACAAACTATCAAGGATATGTTGAAGCAGATGATAGGTGAACGCGCCACGGTTGTTGTTACTCTCGGTTGCAGCTCAAGCCGGCTACTATAATAGAGAGGGCACCTCCCCCGTAAAAAACGCAGGAGGGACAAACGCAGGTGACGATAGCCTATTATATTAGTTAAGCACCTCTGTGAGGCTGTGTTTTAAACGAGAGCATTCCAAAACCGATATATTATAATACTGGATTGACGACAAGTGTTGAAACAATATTGACAAAGAGCCCCGTACCTGGACACGGGCGTCAACTAGACCCGGGCCACTTACCCTTGCTTCTCCCCCGGCCCCACCGACTGCCACGGGCACCAATCGGCCCCCCTCTGCCTGAAGTACACTCGGTGGCTTGGATCGACGTTTTCCACCACGTACGGCACCTGTAAATGGTCACAAAAAACATGGCAGCGTTGGACTCAAACCCCGTAAAGGCCAAGAAACAACGGTTAACTTTTTTTTTTCTTTCAATATTGTGGTCCGAACAGGCAAACCGACAGCTAGAAGTGAAACAGGACAGCAAATCTTCGACCGTGCGGAGCACGAACCGGCCAGCCAGGGCAACCAAGGGTGACCTAGCTCCCCTAGTGTGAGGGTGTACGCCGCCCAAGTGTCCAACGCACCTGGGACGGGTCTAGCTGCCGAACAACGACCACGATAGAGGCGGCAAGGGGGCGCAGCTCCACGCGCAGCATCATCTCCTGGGGCTCCGCCTGTGTATGCATGCATGTGTTGATTGCAGACCAAGGAAATCGAGAAAACGAACACCCCGAACCACGAACGCCAAAGAACGTCGAGTGCGGAGAAGCTCGTCAGTAGCAGCGGGTGGAACGGATGGTGGGAGCAACTCGAAGACGCCCCGAGTTACGAAGTACGAATGGCTTGCTGCTGGGCGTTGACGTATCCCTTCATCAAGATACATGAATGCCTGAAAAAAATGGACTGTGGACAAGGCTGATGAAATTGACAACCAGCAAGCAACACGAACAAACATCCGTAACGCCCCAAGCCGACACCTACACGCCGAATTCTACCAAAAACCAACCATGGCATCGCCTACAAGTGCAAACAACGCCTTTGGTTACACTAATGATGACGTGAGCGAGAACAAAAGAGAAACACAAAAAAGCACAGCAACACGAGAAAAGACACATGTCTAAACTCACATGACCAAGATCATCTTGACCATCTCCGTCCATTCCGCCACCGCCGCCGCCCCCCCCGGCAACACTCCCGTTGCCGGCGTCGCCGTAGATGTCGTCCATGTCATCCTCGCCCCTGTCGGGGGCCCCGCCGCCAAGGCCGGCCTCCTCACGATCCGAGGCAGCGCCGTCGAAAAACACGCTGCCGCCAGACCTGATACCGTGCGCGCCGCCTCCGCCGCCGCGGCCACCGTCGGGATGGTGGTCTTTCGTGTCCGCCGCCATGGTGTCTCTCCACCTCCGTGGCAGCGGCTGCGGCTGCTCGGTTGTGGCCGGAAAAGGGGTATAGGGGAGAGAATCATCCTGCAACACGTTGTAACTCGCTGACGGACTACCCTGATTTGTGATGCTGAGGGGATGGTAGCAAGGACGAGTTGCTTTGTCACTTTTTTGCGCGAGGTTTCAGAATACAGCGATTGTTCGTTTGCGGGGGTGAAGGTCAAAACCATCGCGCTCTGAGGAACGGCAATACACAACGAGGGTGAGGCCAATCGTAAGCACACAGGACAACCACAGAAACACACCCAACCACCAGATTTGTCAGGCACCGAGAACCACCACGCGTTGTTGTAAGCCCACCATGGTGGCTTCCCCTCCCATGTGCCTTCCGCACACTACACCTCTTGCTCACCAAGCCGATCCGGCTGCCGTCGAGAGGATGCGCCGAGCCTGCCCTGGAAGCTCCCGTCCCCATGCCTAGTCCTGCCGGGTGATTGGAGTCGCCGTCGTAGCCCCCCATGCTGTCATCCCAGTGGTAGGACGACGTCCCGCCGGGCGAAGTGAGGCCGAAACCGTTTCTTCCGCCCAGCTTCCTGCGAAGAGCCTGGAAAAAAATCGATCGCGGTAGTGAAAAAGAAGGCAGCGAATTGGAGTTACCAAGCGAGAAGAGAGGTAGTCACGCCGTGTCAATGGTCAGATGGGGATAGAACTTGACGGCTTTTGCAGCTCCCCGCGCGGCCTGACTAGAATATTTCATTTATTGACTCCGCCGCAAACACAGGGAGTTGATGGCGCGTCGGCACGAAAAAATGACCATACTTGGAGTGAAAATGCGCCCGGTATGTCCTGTTCAGGGCAATCGGCTCGACAGAGCGCGTGCGTTTTCGTGCAATAACACACGTGGTCTGTTCTACTCGTTTGCTGCTTATGTCGTGTTGAATCCGCACGCCCAGAGAGTAGCCAGTGCCACTTTAAGTGTACTTGAGCAGCACCACGAATGTGCCTTCTTCTCCCTGTCGTTCATGACGCGACTTGGTCGAGAGCAGAACAAAGACTCCATCACAGATCGAGCTTGTGGCCCCCCTCGTACCCTCGGATCGATGCCCAGGCGTATTCGACCAACCTTACTGTAGCCAGACAAGCCTAGCCGAGACAAGTCGACCTCGTGCGCTCGCCGCACCAACCTACAGGGTGTACAAGTATACTGCAACGCTTTGTGACCGCAACGGTGAAGCGTCCGCTCCCTCTCCCTTTTTACGGCCCGAAACCCGTTTGTGAGACACTGCTTGTCGAGTAGTCGAGAAACGCAACGCAACCGTGCGTTCAAAACACCGAGGCGCGCATAGATTCGCCACCAACACGACTTGACGGCGCTGTAACCAAAACCCACTTCCGTGTGCCAGGCTTTGAACCGACGACGACTAAATCCGCCGCGCGGTTGCGTACCTTCATGCGGAGCAGGCGGTAGCGCTCCTCCATGGTGCGGAAGCGAAGCACGATGCACGGGTCCTCGCGAAGGCTCTTCTTCATCCTGTGCATGATGCTGTTGAAGGGGACTCCTTGCACGCTCACGTTGTTGATGGCGATCAGGGCATCGCCGACCTGAGAGGTATATTAAATACAGGCGGCGGGGAAGATGGACAAGAGAGAGAGAGAGAAGAGAGAGAGTCGCAACCAACGGCACAAAAAAAAACAAATCGGCAACTCTCATTTTGCGTTGTCGATCCGCAGCCTAAAACTCGTCCGAATTTGCAGGTCTCTGGAGCACATTCCAGAAAAGGAACCAGCCAATCGGGATGGGTTATGAACGATAGTTGAAGGTTACCAACAACAGAGGTCGGCATGCATAGAGGAAGGCATGGGTGTCTTCCCTCTCAGCTGGGCGGCACAACAACACAAATACGGCAGTATCACTTGTTCCCCTCACGTGAACGTCGGTGCTGGTGAAGGCGTAGCTGTCCTTCTTGATCTCCTTGATCACCGCCTGCTTCCGGTACCAGTCCGTCTCCAGCCAGATGCCCACATCCTGTAGTCCCCGTCGGCCGATCAAGCAGCAGCAACAAGCAACACTCTGAATAACCACAAGGGTAGATTGATTTCTTACGCCAACGAAACTTGTGAATATGGTTCAGCCCCCCCCCCCCCCCCCAATAATATTTTTGCGTGGGTTAAAGGGTGCCAACTTTTAAAAAAAAAAAAACCCTGGCCTGTAAGGGACGGGATGGGCCCGGAAACAAGGGAAGGGAAGGGCCCCAGGAAGAAGCCATTCCTACCAACCCAACGTAAAAAAACCAAACATAAAAACCAAAAATCCTGACGTTTCCGGGTGGGAAAATTTTTTCCGGCCTATAAGGAAAACAACCAAAACACAACCCGAAAAGCTCAAAAAGAATGAACCAACTCCTCTCTATTCCCCCCCGGGCTGGGAAACCCTTAAAAAAAAAAAAAAACAAACAAAAACAACCCCTGCGGGACATGAAACCCCCCCAAAGGGAATCCTCCTTTTCCCTTGGTTGGGTGTTGTCCACATGAAAACCCCGTATTGGGTAAAGGAAAAAACTCTAAGGAAGGGTCCTAAAGGGCTTAAAAAAGAAAGAA